TGTGTGTGTGTGTGTACTGACTTGGACAGTCTGCCACCTCTTTGAAGGCCTTCTTCTTACAGCAGCCTCGACACAGGTTGAACACGCATTTATTTCCCTGCAGAGTAAAATAAAAGATGTCAAACAAACAATTGCGTTGGACATTTCCTCCTGATTCTTTGGACAAGTTGAACAAAGCAGAAGGTATGTCTTACGAAAAGGACAATGTCTTCAACTGAAACCCTTTTACATATCTATTTCAGAACTCTATTTAACTAAAGCCTTATTATTTTAACAAAGGTAATCATTATAACTTCTCATTTTCATTGACATTACACTGACATCTTCTGTCACCATTAATCATTTAATCAATTACCTTTGGGTTCCCACACTGTTCACATTTGATGTATTTGGCTGCGGAAGGAAAGAGGAGGAACAGATTTCAGTAGAGCCCCACTTGAATGTTTAAAACGAGGAAGTGAGTGGTTTAAGCTAAAAGTGACGAGTTGGACTCACGTTTCTGCTCGGGACAGAAGTTCTTGTTGGGGTTTCGGGATCTTTTCTTCTGTTTGTTTTTGGAGAGTGTGTCAGCTGTTCCGTCCGAGTCTTCCAGTGCCCTCTTCTGACACACCGTCTTTTTCACCTCTGAATTCTTGCTGTTGCCGTTGGCAACCGGATCTTTAGGCCTGTGGGGCATAGTCAGTACAATGGGGAGATGCGGCTAACATTGTGATCTTACTGACCAAGACCATAGATCACTTTGCTGTGGGGTTGACGTTTATGATACAGATGTATTAGAATTCAAACTGTCAGTGAAAAGATTATATAGAGACAAATCTGAGCAACAAAGGGTGGTGACTCACGCTGGTCTGACGTATGGCTGGCAGATCCAGTGGGGGAACGGAAGGCCGTCCTTCTTCTCTTCTACGTCCTTTCCTTTGGCTATCTCCTCCTGCACAGACACACAGACAGTGAATGGTACAGAACTGTCTACACCAACTCTCAAGCTGGATTCAAAGATTTTAGTGGGCAGCGGCCATGTAGGGGATCAATTTTGTTTGCAATGTGGAGAGCAGACCGAGGCCACTGGGCATTTCCACCTGGTATTAACATGCAAGCTGCATCTGGATAGTTTATCTGGAAAGGGGAAAATGTGTGTTAATGCAAGATATACTGTAAATGTGTATGTACAGATCAGCCAGACTACAGGTCTGGATCACACTGTGACTGAATCTAAGCCAGCTGTCAATGATGTCTGGAAAATGTTGCCACGTTTTTAGGCTACTACGACATGCAGGACAAGGGTCAACGAAAACTCCAGGAAATTAGCCCCTCTGCTTGTTTTCCCTTCACCTTGTTTTCTTCTATAAAAGTGTACTTTTCTTCTGATGTTAGCAGATGTGCTCTGTCTTTCAGGTGAGGCGTGGCACGCTGTGGGAAACCCTGCAGGTCTAAATGCAAAGGCCTGTGATAAGAGGTCATTGTCCAGATACAGACTGCATGTTAATACCAGATTGAAATGGGTCTTAATCATTTCTGATGCTACTTAAGCACTGTAACCAATGAGTAATGCTGCTTATTGTCATGCAGTATGACTCCACTAATTGCTTAAGAGTTGCATTGTTGTGGTGCTCCTTTGCCCAATGTTGACTTGTGTGACTAGAACACAAACTTATAAAAGCACTTAACACAATCTTGTCTTTGATGAAGACATATGCAATAGTTACTATTTTAAGCAGTACAAAGTCTGCCCACTTTTTGTCTCTCTCTCTCTTCCTCCCTTTGGTGCTGCTGAGCATTTAACTACAGAGAGACAGATTGCTTAAATCACGGTTTCCACTTCCCCAGCTAAGAGTCATTAAAACTGCTTTCTTATAGCTGTTACCTGGCAGCGCAGTCTCAGCTGTTTACTGACATCGGCCAAACCCTCGAGGGTCTTCACCTTGGCCAAGTCCTCCCTCAGGTCCTGGTGAATCTGTAGCCTACATACACACATACACATGCAAACACATAAATCACATGGCTGCAAGGGTCAAGAGGATCAGCTAATGTACAAGCGCCAACCTGCTTGGCTGGTAAATGAAGCCAAATCAGAATGTAACAAAAACTGCAGTTACTCAAACAGCCACTTGAGGCAACAGAAGAAAAACAATGCAGCACGTTATCCAGAGTGACTGTTTGTAATTTGATCTCATTAATACCAGCCGCACTGTTTACTGTTCACTCTCCTAAAGCCGTATCACAACTGGATAAAGTCACTGCTAATGCTTACCCAACATTTACTACTGCTGCTGATTCTGTTCCAGGTGTAAGGTGCATGCATCTGTGTACACACACAAATAGAGAAAGAGGGGGACATACGTGTGGTGCCAGAGCTTGAAGAGGTGGGCTCGTACGTAGGACAGAGTGCAGGGCGGGTACTGCTTCACCACCTCCAGATATTCCTCAGCCATCTCCCACACTGGGGGGCTGCGTCCCTCAAACAGTGCTGGGTTGTGGAGGTTCCCCTCTAAAAAAAAACAAAAACAAAACAAGAATAGACACACAAATGAGTTTCAAAACAATGCATATCCTAAGCAGGAATCCTGTTTATAGTATACTGTATATGATCTATTAACACTGAGGGAAAAACGTGACACTGCAGACATATATTCTTAACCTGCACTCATAACTCCGTGCACTCCCGTCTCCTGCATGCAGCACTCCACGTCACTCAGGTGCTGAATGTTGCCATTTGCAAACACTGGTATATTAACTGCCTTCCTATAGCAAAAACACAAAAAAAAACCTCATTTCATTTGGTTTAAATATCACAAATATAGCATAAAAGAGCTATAAATGATGAGTTGGAGACCATAGGGAAAGCCGGACAAATGTTCCCGATTGATATATATAGTACATGTGACGTCTTAACACAAGGTGACGGTAGCTCACCGTACTGCCTTGATGTGCTCCCAGCTAGCGATACCCGTCATGGCACCTTTCTGGTCTTTGGTTCTGCCATGCACTGTCAGCAGCTGGGAAGAGATTTGACCAAATCTTTAAAGACCCTTTGCAATGCTTCCTAAAGCCAGCTTTTACAGATAAATATATAATAAACATTCTGAAATAACACACAGCTCACTATTCAAGATGTCTTTAAAGGACGGTTAATCAATCTCCTCTTAGTTAAACACTGAACACAGAAGCAGTGGATTCTTATTAAGATCATCGTGATCACACCTGACATCCAGCTTTCTCCAGCATCTGGGCATAGCGGACTGTCTTTTCCACCTCTTTGAACACACGGATCTTACATGTGATGGGCACAGACAGCTTTTCGTTGGCTAACCTAACTGTAAAATAAGAGGGAAATGTTAAGTGTTTGACTTAGCACGTTTTAGACTTTAGACATTGTCAGAGATCCTCCCAGAGTTCTACAATAAGTTAAACACAGACTTACCCATTTTCTCTAACAGCTCCCATTCGTCTTGCAGGAAAACACCGTAGTGCCCTTAGAAACAAGCATCGTGAAGGGTTAGCTTTCCTTTCACTCTGTCATCAGTGAGTGACATTTCTGATACAACCACAAGGGGGTTGCCAAAGTCAGAACTTCCAGGGTTCATTCCTGTAGGAACCGTACGTACCTCTCTTAGCGATCATCTGCGGACAGCCCAGGTTGAGGTCGATAGCGTCGCAGTAGTCCTGAGCCAGCAGAGACGCTTGAAGGAACACCTCTGGATCATTGGCACAAAACTAAACACACAGGGAACTCAACACTGTGAGTCACTGGCACTACACGAGGAACAATGTTAACCTAACGCCTGTGTGGATCCTCACCTGCGTGATGAGAGGTCTGTCCTCTTCACACACCTCGTTGTAGAGGTTCTCTCTCCTGTAGTTGGCGTCGCGGACAAACACCTGAGCGTGCAGCATGGGGGTGTAGCAGAGCTGAGCACCGTGGCGGCGGCTCAGCAGGCGCCAGGCCAGCTCGCTCTGGTCCACCATGGGCGCCACCACAAAGCGCGCTTCTTTCAGGGTCGTTCTCCAGAACTCAAAGCCCTGGAGCTTGTCCATTATTGCTGTCCTTCCTGCTTGGCAACACCGGGTGCACTGCACAGAACAAGAAAAGGTTCGCCATGAAATAAAGTGGGAAAGATACACTACCTGATTTTGTTGTCGTTACCGGCAGTCTCACCAAATCCCAGAATTTTCTCTGTCAACGTTTTGAAACATGAGAGAGGAACTCTGGAGATGTTGGAAGCTAACAGAATTAAATGTGGAACATTTCACTACCCAAGAAACTTTTGAGTATGTGGCTTTTCTCTGGCAGTAAAATTTAAAAAATCTCTTGTGGAGTTTGGTATTTCGGCTCTCTTTACTTTGCCCTGGTTAGCTTATTTAGCATTAGTAAAAACTATTTATAAAAATCCACCCAGCAGTGAACACATGAACCTCTTAAGTATAGAACTTAAATATACTGGCAAATGGCTTCATTAGCATGCTGAAGTCATTTTAAAACTATCTTTGAGCAGTTTTAGCTGACTGTTCGTGTACAGACTGAACTGAGAGGTTTTGGGTCTAAAATGTAGCCAGCTAAACACTAATAATGCTTTAGATCAACTAGCTCGGTTACACTGCAGGGTTGTCTCCTAATGTTAGCGAGAGCAAAGTTGACAACTCAATTATTCTGGGGTTGGTTTCGAGCTATTCTAACTCTCTACTGTCTGCCTCCACAGCTATTAGCATTTACAATGTCCTAGCTGTCTGTCTGTGCTGTACTGTTGTTGAGCTAGCAGAGCTAACTGCAGTCAGTTGACATGTAGCACATGATGCTCCACCGCATTACACAACTACAACAGTTTGACAGTAAACCTATCACAGTTATGTTCCTCTGGGAGCACCATGCACGGCTCCGGTCATGTACTAACTCTACTTGACGATATGTATTTGGATAGTTAGTTGTTTCACCTGTAATTTTATGAGATTTGTAGAGTATTCCTGGCGCAGCACTTTGCAAATGTGTGCAGCAGCGAAATAGCACCGGTGGGAAACTTTCCCTGTGGCCTCTGCTTCTTGGTAAAGATGGTTTCTAATTTGGTGCATTGTCGCCCCCTTCTGCTGTGGGGTGCTGAATACAGAGGAAAGCAGTGGTGTAAAAGAAGAATGAATTCAGACCCTCAACAAAGTCGAAACCATGTAAAACTATGTATTCATGTTTTGTACAGCATGTAAGAAATTATTATGATCTATTATAGCACTACATGGAAATGCTCAATGTTAGTTGAAGCTCATAGTAGATTTAAAAGGTGAATACAGCAGCAAACAACTATTAGCTTTGTAAAGATAATGCAGAGTCATGGTGTCCTGAGCAGAGAGTGATGTCACACACCCTCTGCCTGTGTTGCTATCGCAGCCGCTCTGTGGTTTGTTCACATGGCTGTTTGCTCCATGTACAACATGTAGAGACTGAAACCGCTGGATTTTTTTCAATGTATTTATTTATTTACCAGACCAGAGTTGGTGATTGTTGGAGCAGTGGAAAGCCTAATAAAGACTGCTTTGGTGAGTTTTATTTTGTTTCTGTCCACGTGTTACAATGGTATGTGAGGTAAATATGATATTACGGCTGTTTCTGGTTAAATAAAAGGTCTATCTCTGTAGGATCCTTTTCCTATAATGTTGTCAGACACTTTATAACAATCTGAGCCTGTCAGTAGCAAAGACAAACACTTAGTGGACATGAATTTGAATTTGTCCCCAAGGATTAACGTTAAAACGTTGTTTTCACATATACTTTCACATCTAACACAGTGTATTAAGAGTTGGAAAGACTGTCAGAAGACTAACAAAGAGTTTTTTATCCTATTGTTTTGGTCTTACATCCTGGTGCGACATCCAGTGGAATGTGAATTTTGTATATATAACCTTTAAGATTATGTCTCGGAGCCCATCAGCTATCATCTGACGGCTATTTAGCTTTGCATTCTGCATTCATATACAGATATCTGTTTATAGATATACAAGTATAGGTTACTTCCAAACTGCAGTTAGTTACAGTGCTTGGTTATCTACTTAGTTACATCAATGACACCAACATTGGTAATAGTTGCCAATGTATGAACAACAGATTGTGCTTCAAAAGTTATTACTATTACATCTTTTACAAAGAAGTGGTAGAAATCAGCTTCATTGATTCATCACTAAAAACATTGTGAGGCTCCAAATATATTTATTCACCATCATCTTCTGCTTCACAGCTACGTGATTCACATACTCCTGTGACTCCTTTTTAAAGTTAGTAATGATACAAAAGAACACATTACTGAAAAGCAGCTTTCTTTCATCGTTGAATAAGCAACTGCTTGGACTTTAACAGGGATACAGGCCAATGATAAATCTGACACACAGGAAGATGACTTCACTTCTTACACTTTTACACTCAACACAATTACAGAATTAGGTTAACTTGGATTATTCTTTCAGAGTATATTTGCTTTTTCACACCATGGATAGAGACTTTTATAACAGAAAAGCGACTGGCTAAAATGAAACTGCAGTTCAGTCTGTTATCAGACTGACATCAGGGACATTCAGTAGGAAGCTTTGGTTAGAAGAGCATGAAAGTGAATTAACAGGGGTGTGGCCCCATTTCAACAGTAACAGTCTACAGTGAAACACACATAATACAATTAAACATATTGGAAATAAATCAAAAATATCAGTTCAAGCAGCTGCGTGGCTGGAGAATATGTATTAGGCTCAGATGTGAGGTTTTCTGTTTCACTGTCAGACAGAACCACTGTTGTTAATCACACATAGACACACATTCAAATCAGTTAGTCACTTTTATAAGAAAACACAAAATTAGGATAGAGGAGAGCATGACATTCAGCTAAATACATTTTCTTACATTAGAATAAAATGTTCTATACCATCTGAAAATAAAATACCAAATATAATATTTAATGTCATATAGAAGGATTACAAATCATTAAAATAATAAAATAAATGTTCATCTATCATTAGTTCAGGTAGATTGTTAAAGAATCACACCCTTGTTTTGGTAGATTGTCTCACTGACCAGCTTCTCTGATAAATGATGAAATCATCAGCTGAGTGACACCTCACATGAAGTCTCACTCGCTGTTTTACACTGTCGAAATCATCCATCACCATGGATACCAATAGATGCATCACTCACCCAGCTGTTGTGTTATATTATGTTCTGTTGCCCTGAAAATGCACCAGCAATAAATTAATGAATGCATGCCTGTACTACAAAGGTCTACTGAATTAAGAGACAAAGTGATGTTTTCTCTTTTCATTTTAACTTCATTACATGCTCTGTGAGGAGAGCAAAATATTATGTAATGGAGTGGAAAGATCTGTGAATAGAGTGCAGGAATGAGCTCTAAAACCCTGAAATTATTTAACATTCTAGGTCGAACCTCTCCCATTTTGTTCTACGACATAAAATGTGTCAGTAAATATGAATTTTGAAGCTTTTATGTGTCTTAAAAATGGGAGGTTTTTTTGTTGACGGCAGCCTGGAATGATAATTTTCTGTGGGTTCTTCACAACGAGCAACTTATTTTACATTACACATTATATGATCCCTTCTTAATATAAAAATATTAATTAGCGCAGCTTAAAACATGTTTAATGTGCAGTAAATATGTTAAAGGGAGCCTGATATCATGACAGTCTACCAAAATGTGATGCTCGTAGTTGTAACTGTAAATAGTATTTTTCTGAATCCTTTTAAAGGACAATTTAGTTATTTTACAATCTGCGTCATTCTTTTGTATTTTCAGCCATCATTCCACCATTCACTAGTTCCGATTACATTTTACAGGCAACTTTTATAAAACTAAAAAACAAGCAAAGTTGTTAATAAACTAAATTTTCCTGTAATATTCTGCTTCACTGAAACACACAAACAGTACAGACAATGCATAGCATATAAGCATGAGTTAGAGGGAAAAGTAATCTAGTAGTCAGTTTAGTGACGTTTCCTCAAAGTCTATGTTCACCCCTCTAGCGGTAGGCCATATCAGTCGACCCAAAACCACAACAAACGACACTGTCAGCTCACATAAGCTCGATATCAGCAGTTAACCACAGTACCACACATACAGATAAGTGATCTTCAAAGGCAAAGTCTGTTGAGTGAAGCTAAAATACTGTAAATATATCATGTAACACAGTGATGAAGAGCATAACAAAGACGTGGAGAATATTTGGGCCCTGCTTATAATCCAGGGAGGGATCACAAAGATACCACGAGACCAGCAACAATCTTCAAACGACTGCAACACCGACGCTCAATGTATGTAGCAACCATTTAATACTGATACGACAGAAACCACTTCTCATTTAGACATCTAACCCACCTTAACTGTGGCAGCACAGACCATAAGGAAAGATTCTTACACTGCGTTGACACCAGGTGGTCAGGGCATTACGAGCCTTTCAAGCTTTTTCAAAGCAAACACAAACCATTTTAAGCATTAATAGAAAGGTGTTCTTATTTACACAGCTAAGCTGTTCTGACTCTTTATAACACTTTGTAAGAAAAAAGCGGCCTTTTGTTTTTAAAGGATAAGGCTGGCATGATTCTATATTTTTTATTGCCAACAAATCGAATGAAAACACTAACAATGTGTTGGTCCATTCCCCCAAATTCAGTCCGAAGCACATTGGTTCCTACTGCAGAGGTAAATCTTTAAAAATGCCCCAGAGATATATTGTTTCAAGTTTTATGTAATTTCCTAAAACATTGTAAATGTTACTAAAACAGGAGTAAATAGTGCATTTGTTGAGAACTATTTTCAGATGTGGATGAATAAATATTTGGTGCTATAGTGAGTATTTCCTGCAGCAGGACAGAGCTATGCGGCACAGAGGAATAAGATAAACTAACAGGGTTTGGCTACATAGGCAACACCTGTTAAAAATATTTTTTATTTTATTTAGCTGTTTATTTAACAGGGACAATGAAGAATATATTTATTGCATCAGATATAGCTAAAAGCTAGTTCCCAGCTGTAGTTATAGTTAGGGTAATATTTTAAAATTCCCAAACCAGGACCCTCAAGTGTACCGCATGTTCATGCACACACCACAGGTGTTAAGTCTGGGGGACACCTACCAAGCGCACCTTTCAACATCATGGACGCCATGAACACAGCATTTTCATTGGAGGACACTTTACAAAGGAGTAAGCCTCCTGGAGCTCTTTAGCTAACCATTAGCTTACTGACTGAGCCTATGATGTTTGACTCTGACTCAGAGGCTAGCAACATATTAACAATGTCACACTGATTGATTGACATACTGGCAAATCAGTGCTGAACTCTGGCGCGTGGTGCATTATGTTTTTATACTGGGTTAGGTAATAATAAGTGGGTGATAAACGTCTATGTGAGACTGAAAACATGTATAATAAAATTATTATTATTATTATTATTATTGTGTAATTGTGTACCAGATGTAAAACCGGGAAATGTCAGTGTTTTACAGATATTTATCAGGACTTGGGACAGCTTGAAACTGGGAAAATCCCAAGCAAATCAGGACATCTGGTTATTTTAGTATTTTCATGGGATTTGTTGACATTGAGAATATAGAATATTGTGAAAATGATCCCTTACCTTTATTTGCTGGTGACTATACTTCAAAATAAAACTTTGATAGAAACTGTACACACAAGGCAGTGCTGAGTTTTCTATTGAATATTATTAACCACCACATTTTAAAACATCTAGAGATAACATATTGCTGACAACTCTTTCGATTTCATATGGCAGTGAAACCAATAAGCCTCCCCACAACGAGATGAACACCTGGATTAAACACTGAATGATGAGGAAAGCACAACTATCCAATAGTGTGCTCGTTAGAACACTTCAAAGTACACTTTGTCCTGCCGTTGGATTATTTAAAAAAAGGAAGGAGCATAGCCTGCGAGTAGTCCAGCATCCTCCATCCCTGCTCACAGGCATGTTTCAGGACTGATGGCCATGTCACCATTTTGTTGTGGCTCTTTCAAGAACCGTTCCACTTCCTGCGAGTCCACTGTTACACTCTCTGGCCTAACCTCTTTGTCTGTCTCCCCCTCCTCCTTCAAGACCTCTTTCTTTGTCTCCTTCTCTTGCTCCTCTCTTGCTCCCTTCTCCTCCTCCTCCTCATTCATCTCTGCAGGTTCGCTGCATGCCTCCGCCTTGACGTCGTCTGTCACTGTGATGTTCTCAAGCTTGTCCTCCGGCGTTGAGGACTTCTTTCTGATACACAGGAAGTTACAAGAAGCCAGAACCACAGCCGCGAGGACCACCTCGCTTCCTGCCAGCAGGAAGACGTACATGTAGTTCTTGGTGGCATCAAGAAGCCGGCCTGAGACAGAAGACGGGGGAACAGGGGAACAGATGAGAACATACAATGGAGGAACCACAGAGAAATAAAAGATTTAGACACTCGCTCTGTAATATTACACAGCCTTTAAAATGAATTGGATACTTGTAGTAGTCCATAGTCCAGCATGTTCATGTTCTAGTTTTTGTGATTACTGACCTGCACCAGGTGGCCCAACCAGCACAGCAATAGCCTCCATGAGCAGGACCAGGCCAATGGCACTGGAGAACTTCTCAGTACCAACTATTGTCATGAGAACCTCAAACTGCAGCGCACCCACCATGCCGTAGGAGATACCAAAGAAGATGCAGAAGACCACCAGCGTTGAATAGTCCTTCGCCTGGGAACAAACATGTTTATTGTTTTTTTTAATGGGTGGACCAAGCTTCTTCTTTCCTGTTCATAATGAGCAAGCTTTCACCTACCTGTGATCCGATGAGGTCAGTGGTTCCATTGAAGAGCATCGCAAAGCTGAAGAGGTAGACGCAGCGAGGCCGCACCCATTTCAGTCCGGCAATCACACCACACGTGGGCCGTGCAAAAATGTCAATGAAGCCCAGGATAGTGAGCAGCAGAGCCGATTTGGTGTCCTCATTCCCAAGCTCCTTAGCGTAGCTCACAACAAACACTGGAGGCACAAACAGCCCCAGCACCATGATGGACGCCGCCACCGTGTAGATGAGAAACCCACAGTCATTGAACACAGAGAAGTCCAGCAGTTTGGCTTTGGGCTTCTTATTCTTCTCTGCCCCCTCTGTTTCTCCCTTGTTGTCCTGTTCCACGTCCTTAGCCATAGGCTTCTTGGGGGCGACCAGAGGCTTCATTAGGGCCCCGCACACACAACAGTTGAGCAGAAGGCCACCCAAGATAAGGAAGCCCCCCCTCCATCCGTACTGGTACTGGAGGACCTGGCCCAGCGGCGAGAGGCAGCACAGGGCCACAGGGCTTCCTGCTGCTGAGAGCCCATTGGCCAGAGGTCGCTTCTCACTAAAGTAGCGGTTGAGCATTATTAGAGATGGTTGGAAGTTCAGGGCTAACCCCAAACCTGCAGCGAAGAAAAGAAAGCTTTAACTTTTCATATTTAACCATCTAACATCTGTTGTCGATCTGCTGCTGTGGTACAAACAGAGACTTGTACAAAAAGTTCATACAAATTGTATCGTCTAAAAACAAAAGCGTTAGTGGCTTAATGACAAAATATGGCTAAAATGTTGTTTTTGTTGACTAAAATCGCACACACGTGAAAATCAACACTATGAAATCGACAGTCCTCACTCCATTTCACATGCTAAGATATTTCCTAATCTCAGCTCAAGGACTCATCTGGTCAGGAGATGTTCACTCTACTGGAAGGTGGGAAACTTTCGCTAACGGTCTGACCTGTTATGACTCCAGCAGTGAGGTAGATGTGGATGATGCTGGTGGAGAAGGAGGCCAGGATCATTCCCAGAGAGGCAAAGAGGCCGCCCACCATCATCACAGGACGACAGCCGAAGCGGTTTACCAGCACACTGCACAGAGGACCTGGACAAAGTGTAAACGCACTCAGTCAGGCTGTGTGTGCCCGGGTGGTCTGGTGCTTCTATAGCGTGCTGCAGGAATGAGTCGTAAAAAAACCACAGAATGCATTTTCTGCAACAATCCAAACTCAAATGGAAAAATCCCACTGGATTTTTGTCGGAGGAACCAAGGTGACTCTAACTTCTGACCTGAAAATAAGTCAGCACTCTATTAGTATAAGATGCAGTATGTAAATAAGACAGCTTTGGTGATTTTAGAAGATGGGATGATGAAGCTGATATCAATCTTTTCCTCTGACTCCAGGTAAGGCCGCAAACAAGCATTTAATTAATGTTCTGAAATGTGTCACTTACCTCTACGCTGACATTTTTCGAAAAACAAGCAGAACATTTAAAACTACATTATTACATTTATTTACACATAATAGTATTGCATTCAACAATTAGGTACAGAACAGTATTATAATATTAACAAATATACAACAGTACAATAATCTGTGTTATTATTTAATAGTAATATAAGTGAAACCTATGATAACCAACAGATTCATATCCAGCAACTAAGCAAACTCCATCTGCTGGCGAAGACAATGAGGGGCAGTTGTTGCCGTATGTACAGTACAAACAGCAGCCTACCTGTGCCATACAGCATGGCCAGCAGTATGGAGGAGATCCAGGCAGTGTCACTGTATCCCACCCCAAACTCCCTGATCAGCTCTTTGAAAAAGACGCTGACCGCTTTAGGGAAAGCGTACGAGAAGCCTGTGATGACAAAACAGCCGGCCAGCACCGCCCAGCCCCACCCGCCGTCTGGAGCCTTCACCGCCCCTGCATCCACGTCCACCGCCACGCCTCCCATGGTGCTCTAGGGCTGTGTTTTTATGGAGGCAGACAGAGAAGCTAGAAGAAAAAGTAAAATGGCAACAAGCAGTTAGATTAGTTTTGAGTGCATCTTTTGAGTTCTTCACAAAGAAAACAGGCCCCCAGCAATTAGACAGACACTCCCAGATTTAACATATTAAGTGCAGCATTACTATTTTACTATAATTATTATCATATCAATTATCATTAACTTGAATTGCCAGAAACTCAATTTGAGCTCAGCAGCATCCTCCACTGTTACTGTTTGGCCCCTTAAAGTGCCTTATTGCAGATTATAACAGTTCTGACTAGGCACACCCCATTAAAAATATCAAAAAAAGACAAAAACTCTGTCTTGTCTGTGTGTGGGGATGCAGTGAAGTGACTGCTAACAATGGATCTGAGAGGCTTACACAGGTTATGATTGGCTCCACTCAGATATCTTCCCAGTCACACATGATGTGTATCAGCAGTCCTGGCGTCAAATATTGCTGATTGGTTGAGCAGGGGAGGGGGATTTCTTGAGACTGGACCAACACCCAACGGGAACTAAAACAAAGAACCAAAAAGTGAGCAACATTTGGATATCTGTCTTCAAAACATCAGAAAAACATCAGTGTGTGTTTTTATTCCAGATAACCTAGAAGTGTGTTTTTGCTGCCAGTGCCCCTCTTAGGTTTCCAGACAGTAAACTATGCAGTTTACAATGATATGACAACAGATGAAAGATAAAACCGCCAACGCTATAATTAATAGTTGACTCTTTTAACACTTGAGCTACAGCAACCACTGTGGTTGACTGATTGGTACAGGTATTACATTGGAATACATACATGCAATCCAGACCACTGGATGACTTTGCAAAAGTTCTTAATTCCCATTTTTCAATAAAAATGCACCTACCCTGTACCAGATACACAGAAAAGAAGTACAGGGAGACCTATTGTCTGTTCAGTTCATACATAGTCGAACATTTTTGTGCCTTTAGATCCACAGCTGATCTGAAATTGTAATGCACATGTAATGACAGCATATTGTTACATATTGTTGAAACTGCACTTATTTTTTCTTAAGACATTTTAGGCTGTTCATCATCTATTTTGTAAATGGATGTGTCATTATATGTGAATGTTTTCAGAATTGTACTCTTTTACACTAGAGGAAGTGGACAATTTGGAGGTGTTGTTATTTATATGTTATTATGCAATGGTTTTACTGGTCTGATCCATTTGAGATCAAATCCCAAAATGAGTTTGACAACCTTGATCTAAACTTTTGGGGATTGCAGTTTGTATGTTAATGGTCGACACATATCAGTAAATGTTAAAGCCTGTGGATGATATACAGTGCTGAAAAATACAGTACAGAAAAAATATAAACCTGGTGAAATGTGATATGTTGTTCATTATTATGGCTCTATACTCCAGCACATTGCATTTAAGATGAAATGAACTTTCAGCTTTAACTGTATTTGAGGGTGCTACATTAAATATTTTTCTGCATTTCTTTTCTGCACATAGTCTTTTAATTTGAAAACAATGCAGTGGGACAATGAAGCTAAACTAGGCAACCAAGGAGTTTTTAAAACTACACAGTAGAATGTTCTTGACTGACGGAGTCTGACACCTGACCTCTGTACCACCTATCATGGGTTTTACTGCTGAATACCGGACTGAAGGCACCTCCGTTCCCCACACCACCCTCACTGAAACAAGTAGGAGGTGAAGCAGCATTTAAATGTTGGTTTCCTAAAATTAGCAGACTGTGTTTAAAAAAGGCTACAATTACTACACTGTTCATGTAATGTGACTGTAAACATCCTTAAAGTCCTCCTTCAGTAAGAAATCAGTTGTTCTTGTTCCTACAGTGTGCTGTTTGAATGCTGTCTGTGCAGAGTGTGACACTGTCAGGATGTTTTCACATTCATCTGCTGAAAATGGAAAGTTTCTCTGTGCTCACTGAAAATCTGATTTTAAGGGGCGGGGCCTACCAGCATGATTTG